TAAGTAACTATATAAATGAAGAGTCATAAGTTTACATAAATATAAGAAACATTAAAGTCTAAAATATTTTCTCTATGGTATTCATGAATTTTTCACTAATTAAACACTCTGTAATAAAATATCTTAGGGCCCATATAACAAGTATTAACATTACAGATTCCATTGCATTCTAAAATGTAGTCTTTGTTGGATTCAAAATGCTGCATAACCATCTGCAGAAGTAGTGTGGGTAAACAGCAGGAGGCTTTAGCAGGAGTAAGTCCTGACTGTGGCAGAATCCAACCTGCGTTGTTCCTGACACACTGCCGTCCATCGGCATCTTCTCTGTCGTAACCTTTCTTCAATGTTGCCGTGTCTCTCTTCAGCCTTCGAGAGCGCTGCCACCCTCTGGGCCAGCTCCGCCTCCACTTCCGGGAGTGTCTCGACTTTCCTCATGGTCTGCTGCAGCTTTTGCTCCGCTAATTCCAGCCGTTCCTGCAACTGGCGGTTTTTATCCTCAGTCTGTCGATGCATAGAATCTTTGTTTGCAATTTCATTTTCAAGTTCATCATTGAGGTCATGCACAGATGTGGCTTCACGCTGCGCAGCGAGGTAGCGTTTTTCAAGAGTAGTGATTCTCTCTTCCATGTCTTTGTTTTGGGCCATGGCTTCACGGATGTCCCGTTGCAATTTCGTGTTCATCTCCTCAGATTTGATCAAGTCTTCCCTGGCCGTGTAGAGATCTTCCTCCAGCTCTGCCACGTGACAGAGTCTCTCTTCCATGTCTTTGTTTTGGGCCATGGCTTCACGGATGTCCCGTTGCAATTTCGTGTTCATCTCCTCAGATTTGATCAAGTCTTCCCTGGCCATGTAGAGATCTTCCTCCAGCTTTGCCGCGTGACTGATTCTCTCTTCCATGTCTTTGTTTTGTGTCACAGCTTCGCAGATGTCCCGTTGCAATTTTGTGTTCATCTCTTCAGATTTGATCAAGTCTTCCCTGGCCGTGTAGAGATCTTCCTCCAGCTCTGTCACGTGACTGATTCTCTCTTCCATGTCTTTGTTTTGGGCCATGGCTTCACGGATGTCCCGTTGCAATTTCGTGTTCATCTCCTCAGATTCGATCAAGTCTTCCCTGGCCCTGAAGAGATCTTCCTCCAGCTCTGCCACATGACTGATTCTCTCTTCCATGTCTTCCCTTTGGGCCATGGCTTCCCAGATGTCCCGTTGTAATTTCGTGTTCATCTCCTCAGATTTGATCAAGTCTTCCCTGGCCGTGTAGAGATCTTCCTCCAGCTCTGCCACGTGACAGAGTCTCTCTTCCATGTCTTTGTTTTGGGCCATGGCTTCATGGATGTCCCATTGCAATTTCGTGTTCATCTCCTCAGATTTGATCAAGTCTTCCCTGGCCATGTAGAGATCTTCCTCCAGCTCTGCTGCGTGACTGATTCTCTCTTCCATGTCTTTGTTTTGTGTCACGGCTTCGCGGATGTCCCGTTGCAATTTCGTGTTCATCTCCTCAGATTTGATCAAGTCTTCCCTGGCCATGTAGAGATCTTCCTCCAGCTCTGCTGCGTGACTGATTCTCTCTTCCATGTCTTTGTTTTGTGTCACGGCTTCGCGGATGTCCCGTTGCAATTTCGTGTTCATCTCCTCAGATTTGATCAAGTCTTCCCTGGCCATGTAGAGATCTTCCTCCAGCTCTGCCACGTGACTGGAGAGGGCAGCCAGGTGCTCTTTCATTTGGCTCTGCTCCCTCAATTGCTTGTCTATGACTTCCTGGAGCTCTATTACTTTAGCAAGGTCCTCCTCATGGCTTAACAAACCATCAGAAGATCTCTTTCCATTCGTGCTCGGGGTATTTTCCTGTTCATGGTTCATGTCAAGTGCTCCATCTGTTAGTGTTTTTTTCTGATTATTCTGTTCTTTAAGAATCATTAGCTCTTTGTGTGTGGCACCTAATTCTTCTTCTAACAAACTACACCTTTCAAGTGCTACTCGTAATCTCTCTCTCACCTTTTCATCCAGAGCTTTGTGGTGCTCAAACAACGATGTCAGTGCTTTGAGCACTTCGACTTCGCTGGACACACCTGCTGGGGACTGTGCCTCTCTCTTCACCATGGTCATCCTGAGAGACCTCTCATGCCTAGAGACAAGGTATTCCAAATGTTCTAAAAGCAGCCTGGTGTTGTTCCTTTCTGCTTTCTGTTCAGCAATTTCCTCTTCCCTTTCCAGAAGCTGTTCCCTGCATTCATTCAGTTCCTTCGTAAGTGCAGCAAACTCCTGTGGAAGTGCAGTATTGAGCTGTCTCTGCAAGGAATCTCTTTCATGACCAACTTCGTGTAATTTCCCCTGGGTTAATGCCAGCGTTTCTTGAGTCTCTGTAAGAGTGTCAAGAAGTCGGTCCCTTTCTTCCAGCATGGAGACCATCAACTGTTCAAAATGTGAATCTGCGTCTGCCCGTGAAGGGGAGCGGGAAGCATCGCTCCCACTTCCTCCTGGGGAGCCTTCGGCTTCACTGATGGTTGGCATCACCTTACGCATCATCTGGAAATGACAGACCCAGACTAGAATCATTAAGAGCAGAATACTGGTTCCCATAAATCTGCAATTTCATAAGTATCTGGAGCTAATAAATTAAAGGTTCACAGCATCTATATTCTCAGATCTGTTACACTTTGTGTGCAAATAAGTTGGGAAAACATACACAAGCAACTATTAAGTGCAGGAACACACCCCATGAAGATACTC